TGGCAATTTTTTGCCAGGTATGGACATTTAAAAAAAAAAACAAACCCTAGTCTACAGCCATGCTACCCTGAACAAGCCCGATCCCGTCTGATCTCGGAAGCTAAGCAGGGTTGGCCTGCTTAGTACTTGGATGGGAGACCACCTAGGAAGACCAGGTGCTATAGGCATTAGAAAGATAGATAGATAGATAGATAAGGGATTGTAAGCTGACAAGGCCTTGCAATCTGTGAGGTCAACCAAGGGTTGCCTTGTCTATAAATAAATAAATTAATTAACTAATTAATTAATTAAAAAATAACCCTAACATTTAGTATCACTATTATTTCTTAAAATACAGAACATATTTAACTCCCCAAAATTAGAAAGATAAATCTTATAATAAAAAGCACTCCTTTAAATTAAAAACAGTTTAGCTTTAAAAAACTCATGGCCTATCATCCTTACTTTCCTCATTTCAACACTGACCAGTAAAAACTTTTCACTGACCATCGGCAGTCTGAAAATCAATGTTTGGGAACCATTAGACAAGGTAAATTTCAAGGTCCAAGGCTCAAATATTATGATTCTAATATTAGGTGTTCTGTTGCATTTCTTTTATTCTATATTATTGTCTACAATAGGTGCCTCAGTGAAGCACAATGCTAATATGTAAATTTTCAAAGATCAGAAATATATTTAAATCTGTTTGAGAAACACTAACCAAAATAAATTTTTTTTTTTTTAAGGGTCCTTGTTTTTAATTTATTTTTATTCTTATTATTAATTATTTATGCCTACAGCACCTGGTCTTCCTTGGTGGTCACCCATCCAAGTACTAACCACTCCTGACCCTACTTAGCTTCGGAGATCAGACATCAGGCTTGTTCAGGGTGGCATGCCATAGACCATGGACCGTGGCTCCACTGGGGCGTGAACCCAGGACCTTCTGCGTGTAAAGCAGACGTGCTAACTGCTACACTATGGAACCATGTCCAAAATAAATTTCAATTTACTGTGGCAGGTATACACTACTACAGATTTAACTTCAAAAATAATAATCGGCCATTCACTGGACACTTACTATTAAGCCCATTTTACAAATGAGGAAATTGAGGAAAAGGGAATCTAAAGAGCTTGCCAAAGAAACACATCATAGCCTGTAAGCCTCAGTAGACTAGAATGCCAATCTGTGACTCCATTTTTCGGTATTACTCAAAAAAAATTTTATTTAGATTTTAATTATGACTCTTCCTTTTATAAATTAGTGATGGATGGTTTCTTTTTAATATTTTTTTTAATTATGGTTGACATATAATAATATATTAGTTTCAGATATACAAGTGATTAGAAATTTATAACTTATAAAGTGATCACCCCAATAAATCTAAAACCCATCTGACATCATACATACATACTTATTACAATGTTACTGACTATATTCCTTATGCTATAACTTACATCCCCATGACTATTCTGTAACTACCAATTTGTATTTCTTAATCCTGTCACCTTTTTCACCCACTCCCCAAACTCCTCCCATCTGGCAACCATCAAAATATTCTCTGTATCTATTAGTTTGTTTCTGCTTTGTTTATTTTGTTCTTTAGATTCTACATATAAGTTAAATCATATGATATGTCTTTCTCTTTGACTTATTTCATTTAGCATAACATCTTCCAGGTCCAACCATGTTGTCACATATAGTAAGATTTCATTCTTCTTTATAGTTGAGTAATATTCATTCTATATACATACCACCTCTTCTTTATTCATTCATCTATTGAAAGACAACCAGGGTGCTTTCATATCTTGCCTATTAAAAATAATGTTGAAATGAACATATGGATGCACATGTCCCTTCAAAGTAGTGTTCTGGGTTTCTTTAGATAAATACCCAGAAGTGGGATTACTGGGTCCTTCTTTGTCTCTTATTATAGCCTTTGTTTTAAAGTCTACTTTATATGGTATAAGTATTGCTATCTAGTTGTTTTTTCATTTCCACGTTCATTAAATATCTTTTTCCATCCTCTTTCAGTCTGTGTGTTTCGTTCAATTTGAAGTGAAGCTCTTGTAGGCAGTATATGCAAGGGTCTTGTGATCTTTCTTTTTAAAAAAATATGGTTTTTAATTATTCAATTGCTGTTGATATACAATATACATTTTAGGTGAACAACTTAGTAATTAGATGTTTATATACCTCGTGATGTGATCACCCGAATAAATCTAGTACCCATCTGACACCATACATAGTTAGTACCATATTATTGACTATATTCCTTGTGCTATATATTTTACATCTCTATTACTATTTTGTAACTACCAATGTGTAAGGGTCTTGTTTTCTTATCTGTTCAACCACCTTATATCTTTTGATTAAACCATTTACCCATTTACATTTAAATAATTGTTGATATGTAGTGATATTTTATTATTCATATTTTTTTATCTTTTTATTTCTTCTTTTTCTTAAAAAAGTCCCTTTAACATGTCTTATAATACTGGATTTTTGGTAATGAACTCTTTTAACTTTTCCTTGTCTAGGAAGCTCTTAATCTGTCCTTCAATTCTAAATGGTAACTTCACTGGGTAGAGAGAGTAATCTTGGTTGTAGGTCCTTGCTTTTCAACACTTTGAATATTTCATACAAATCTCTTCTGGCCTGCAAAGTTTCTGCTGAAAAAATCCCGACAGTCTTATGGGAGCTACCTTGTAGGTAAGTGATTGCTTTTCTCTTGCTGCTTTTTAAGATTTTTTTCTCTTTGTCTTTAACCTTTAGCATTTTAATCACGATGTGTCTTGGTGTGGGCCTCTTTGGGTTCATTTTCTTTGGGACTACCTGTGCTTCCTGGGGTTGTATGTCTATTTCCTTCACCAAGGTAAAGAAGATAGCCATCATTATTTCCATATTGTTTCAAATAGGTTTTCAGTTCCTTGCTCTGTCTCTTCTTCTGGTATTCACATGATGTGTATGTTGGTATGCTTGATGTTATCCCAGAGGCTCCTTAAATTATCCATATTTCTTTGGATTCTTTTTTATTGTGGCTATTCCGATTGGGTGTTTTCTGCTACTTTCTCTTCTAAATCACTGATTTGACCCTCTGCTTCATCGAATCTATTGTTGATTCTTCCTAAAGTATTCTTCAGTTCAGTTTTTGTATTTTTCATTTGACTTGTTCATGTTTTCTCTCTCCATTTTTATGTTTCCTATCTTTTTGTTGGAATTCTGAGATCACTGAGCATCTGTATAACCACTGTTTTGAACTTGGCATCTTGTAGGTTGCTCATCTCCATTTTGTTTAGTTTAGTTTGTTTGTGTTTTTTTTTTTTTTTTTTCTGGAGCTTTGTTCCGTTCTTCATTTGGGACATATTTCTTTGTCTCCCCACTTTGGCTGACTCCTTTGTATGTTTCTACATGTTAGGTAGGCCTGCTATATTTCTCGGTCTTAGTAGAATGGTCTTATGCAGTAGGTGTCTTGTGGGGTCCAGTGGCACAATCTCCCTTGCCAACTGAGCCCAGTGCTCCATGTATGTCCCTTGTATGGGTTGTATGTGCTCTCCTGGTGTAGCTGATCTTTGGGTGCTGTTTGCACATCAAATAGGAGGGACTGAACCTTGGGCTGATTGGTTGTAAGGACTGGCTGTGAATACAGTGGAAGAGCTGTTATGAAGGGTCTGACCCTATGGTGCAGCAAGCTCTTCCGCAGGGCTCTGGTGCCTGCCCAGTCTTTTCTTTGGCTGTGTCATTTCTGGAGGTTATTGGGTGGTACTCTGGTGTGGTCTAAAGCTGGCCACTGGGTATGTTGGTTCTTGCACTTCTTGGGAGGGGCGCTGTTGCAGACCAAGTTCAGCAGCTGCTTGTGCCCTGTCCAGCACCACTTGGTATAAGCTACAAAGTGATGTGCAGATGGTTGTCACTTTTGCTGGGCTTGGAGGTACGTGGGAAAGGCTAATTTGTGAACACAGGCTGACTGCCACTAGTGCTGGGCTTGGAGCTCCTTAGCAAGAGGTAATAGGGCACACTGAGGCCAGATGCTGCTTGTTTGGGGTTTGTGAACCTTTGAGAGATTTTAGGAAAGCCCACAGCATGAGCCTAGACAAGCCATTTGTATGGAAAAGGAACTGGAAGAAGCTTGGGTGGGCCCACAAGTTGGGTGGTGTGAGGTCTCAGGGAATCACCAGTGCAGGGCAAATGGCATTAGCTAGACAGATATGGCATGCCTGTGTCTGCATGCTGGGTAAGAGGAGGGCTCAACAAAGAAACAAAGGCTTCTGTCAGCACTTCTGTTTGAAAGAAACTTGCTCCTCCAGCCCCCGCTCTGAAGTCAGACAATTCAGTTCCTCCCTTTATGTCTCTGGCACCTTTCAAGCTGCTGCCTCAGTGCTGGAGCTCAGAGTGAGTGAGTTAGTCAGCAGGTAAGTCCATGTGTGGGCCATTTACAAGGACTCCTGGAACACCAGCGGCCTTCTGTCTTAGCCACAATTTGCACTGGTTTTCACAGCCAGAAGTTGTGGAGACTTCTCTTCCAATCTGAGTGGCCTGGTGTGGGGCTGAGACCTCTCGCTCCTCGAGGGGACCTCTACAGCTGAGATATACCTTCTGACTCTCAACCACCACATGTGGGTGTTGGACCAGCCTGTTCTGCGTATCCACCGCCCCGACCAGTCTCAGGGTGGCTTCTTCCGCATATCCTTAGTTACAGGACTTCTGTTCAGCTAGACTTCAGGTGATTCTCAATGATGGTTGTTCCACAGTTTAGTTGTAGTTTTGACGTGGTCATGAGAGGAAGCCAGCACAGCATCTACCTACTCCATCTTGACTGGAAGCCCAAGTGACAGATGGTTTAAATTTTAGGAGTTGCACAGGGTAAAATATTTACCAATTACTTTTCCAAATACTGCCGTTTTAATAGAAATTTTTTCTACTATAAAAAGAGTCAAAATGTCTGTTAGTATGGCTAGTAAATTTTCTCCAAAAGCTGATAAAAATAGAAGTTTAGAGCTTTTAAAGGACAAATACTTACAAATTTCCTCTTTTTTCTCCTAAGAACACGTGTAACTTTTGCGATTTCAATCTGCAATGACAGACAAAATTTATAAGTACAGTGACATGAGAAAGAACCCCTTTAAAAAAAAAAACTCAAGTACTGTTTCACATTACACCTGGGCACTGTAGCTCATAATGAGCCAGATACCAAAGGAAAAAACAAGAAATGACTATATATGAGTGTCTAACTAGAAGTAGTGATATTAGAATCCCAGAAAAGTAACCGAGCCTGACTCTAAGAAATAGTACTCCAAACTCTATCAGAAAATGGCAAGATTAAAAAATAGGCAGAGAAACTAATAGACATTTTTTCCAAAGAAGACATAAAAATGGCCAACGGGCTCATGAAAAGGTGCTCAACATCATTAATCATCAGAAAAATGCAAATCAAAATCACAATGAGGTATCACCTCACATCTATTAGAATGGCTACTATCAAAAAGACAAGAAATAAGTGTTGGCGAGAATGTGGAGAAAAGGGAACGCTTGTACACTGTTGGCGGGAATGTAAATTGATGTAGCCACTATGGAAAACCGTATAGAGGTTCCTCAAAATACTAAAAATAGATCTACTATATGATTCAGCAATCTCACTTCTGGGTATATAGCCAAAGGAAATGAAAATGGGACATCAAAATGATAAATGGACCCCATGCTCACTGCAGCATTTATTCACAATAGCCAAGATATGTAAAAAACCTAAGTGTCTTCCAACATATGAATGGATAAAGATGTGGTATACATATACAATGGAACATTATTCAGCCATGAGAAAGAAGGAAATCCTGCCACTTGCGACAGCATGGACAGAGCTTGAGCGCATTATGCTTAGTGAGATAAGCCAGACAGAGAAAGAGAAATATTGCATAATATCACATGTGGAATTTTAAAAAGCTGAAGGCATAAAAACAGTAGAATGGTGGTGACCAGGGGTGGGGTAATGTGAGAATTGGGGAGATTATTGTTAAAGGATATAATTTTGCAACTAGAAGATGAGTAAGTTATGAAGATCTAATATACAGTATAGTAATTACAATCAATAATACTGCGTCACATACTTCAAAATTGCTAAGAGTCTGGATCTTAAATGTCCTCACCACTAAATACAAATGTGTGACATGATGGAGGTGTTAGCTAAAGCTACGGTGGTAATCATATTACAGTATGTAAATCTATCAAATTAACATGGTGTATACCTTAAACTTCTACAATGTTGTATGTAAATTTTATCTGAATTAAAAGAAAAAAGAAAATACAAGAAGCAGGGGTCATGTTCTTAATGGTTTTACCTGTACCTCTTATTCCATCCCCCCACCTCCCCCAGTCAGGATAGGAGCCGAGCTCAGAGAAAGGGAAAAAGTATGACCACAGGAAACTAGTCAATCGGTCTATCCAGGCACTCTCAGCCCCAAATGGTGCAGTCACCTATTTTCCTATCGAAATGAAAAATGAATAATTTCCTTTAAATAATGCAAGGCTCTATCCAAATTCAAATACGGCACTGGTCTAGGTAGAATCCTAGAGATATTTTCATTCTCTCTCAAGGAATATACTGCTTAGTTTTGTGATGATCTTCAAAATATATACACCACGAAGGTTAAGCAGTCAGTTTACAATCAAGGAGTAACATATTTTGAACAATGCAGGAGAAAACTACTTCACATCTGAATACTCAGAACAGTAAAATAAGGCCCTTCAATAATTTCATATTGCTTACTTATATTTCAACATCACTAGGGTGTCCTGGGCATGATATTATGATTCTGAAGAAGAACCGAGCTTTTATTTCTATTCAGTTGTACTCAGTACCACTTGCATATGATTATGAGAATAACCCTTCAATTTTTTAAAATCTATATACCTCAATGGAAGTCGTAAAACAAACATCCATGTAACTAATCACCACACAACTCGCTGGTATTACTAAGAAGTTAATTTTCTCCTTTGCTACCATTATAAGGATGAAGGAAAGAATGATTTATCCCTAGGCCTATTACTGAGTATGCCTTTTGTTTCTGTTTAACAGAACTACTTTCAACTTCAAGTTAATATTCACAATCTACTTTTGGGGAGGAGGTACTAGTGATAGTATCAGTACATGTATGAACAAAAATGGTTAAGACTACTTATAAACTGAAAGCATGATATTTAACATTTTGTTCTTACCCCAGAGGGCTAACTAACATTTGATATTAACACAAAGAGGAGAAAACAGTATATACAGTCACATGCCATATAATGATATTGCGGTCAACAATGGACTGCATATACGACAGTGGTCCCATAAGATTATAATGGAGCTGAAAAATTCCCATCACCTAGTGACATTGCAACACTGTGACATCATAGTGCAATGCATTATTCAAATGTTTATGGTGATGTTGGTTTAAATAAACCTGCTGCACTGCCAGTCGTATAAAAGTATATAGCACATACAATTATGTACAGTACATAATACTTGATAATAAATGACTGTTATTGGTTTATGTATTTTCTATACTATACGTTTAATCATTAGAGTATACTCTTTCTACTTATATGTATTTTTTAAAGTTTGCTGTAAAACAGTATGCTGTATTATGCCAGCAGCAGCCTCATACATCTTGTGTTTACGTCATTTTCTTGCATCATTTTCTCTTGTGCTTGATTTAATTTTGTGTTATTTTGTACAGTAACAGGCTGTACAGGCTTGTACCCTAGAAGCAATGAGCTATGTCACATGGCCTAGGTGTATAGTAAGTCAAACCACCTAGGTTTGTGTAAATTCACTCTACGATCCCACAATGACAAAATCGCCTAGCGACAGAATGTATCTTCATCATTTAGTGACACATGACTGTACATATTAAAATAAAGTCCAAATAGCTCACAAAGAGAATGTTGGGGGGGGGATGTAATATTTCTATACACAAATATATGTATTTCCCTGACAGAATGAGTCAGGTAACTGATAAATGACAACAACAACACCAAAAAAAAACCTTCTATAAAATCATTTAAAGACCTACAGATGGTAGGATGGGGGTTTAGGGATACAAAATATCTACTAGTTTAATTTGGAAAATAATTTCATCAGTAAATGTTTGCAAAGGATAGTTAATACTTTGGAGAGAGAAGCTGGAGAGGATAATCAAGTGTCAGAGAATTCTCTCAGCTGGATGAGAACCCCAGCTTCAACCTTCTACTCATTTCCAGTCTCATAGCTCTTAATCAACTGGGAAAGATGAAACAACTTAGAGGTTCTTTAATACAAAAGAGACAATTTTTCTCTGTGCCTATAACCTTAAAAGACATTTTCTTCACCATAAAAAAAAGAACTAAACAAAACAAACGAACTCATAGATAGAGAATATTTTCATGGTTGCTAGGTGGTTGAAAGGATGGGTGCAAAAGGTGAATAGTCATGGGAATGTAAAGTATAGAATAAGGAATATAGTCAATAATATTGCAATAACTATGTATAGTGTCAGATGGGTACCAGATTTATCAGGAGATCACTTCGTAAGGTGAAACTAATATAATATAGTATACCAACTGTAATTGAAAAATTAAATATATATATATTAAAAAAAGAAACCATCAGCTGCCCAGTAGATAGATAAAAGGGAATCAAAACCCATTTTCCAATCTACCTGATTAAGTTTTTCTACACAACGAAAAACTGATGCTACACTTGCTTTTCTTCTAGCCTCCCCCCTAACCAAACAGCATCCTCCTCTTAAAGGCATTCTATTCAAATAAATTGAAGAAATACTTTAACATAAAAGAAAAAAAGCAGATTATCACCATGCAGGACCTATTTACAATTAATGGGGAAGAAAGATGATTTTGCTAAAATTATAATGCAACTTTTCATATACTTTTAACTTTCATGTATATACAACTTTTTGTAACATAAGAAAGTTGGAAATCCTTAGCATAGCACAGTTTTAACAGACTGAAGCATATAACATCGTCTGTTTCTACTTAACAATTACCTGGTGGCATGAAGAGATAATACAGCATATAGAGTTTATCACCTTTCAATTAGGGAATGAGGCAGCACTGGAAAACCTTACTCACTGAATACAAGGAAGCAAAACAGTGTCCCTGTAGCTAACAGCAGAGTGATTAGAGGAAAAAGCGATACAAATCCAAGGCAGTGTTGTTCAACTTCAGACATACCTCATATTTTGAAACAAAGTTAAAAACAAACCATTAATATGCTTAGTTTTTGCCCTCTTTGCAAATAATTTAGACTGTTAATCAATATTTTGAAAACATTCTTCTAGAAGTAAAGCCAGTACTGAACTTGTGAAAGCGTTTGTTGGAAAAGTTTCAAGCATAATGAATCTCCCTCCTGTACTTAATGTCTCAAGGACTGATCTTAATAAGTTAAAAAAAAAAAAAGGAATGTTTTAGAAAAGAATAGAAAATATTAACAAAATCCTAAGCACTTAAGTGTTCAAATCTAAAAGTAAATTCTGGCGAGTCCCTTATAAAACAAGTCCCTAAGCAATAGTCTTTCACAGGTCTTGTTTTAGATAAATATATATATCATGTATTGGCAAGTATTGACTAGTGGATGAAAACTGCCACACTTGAATATAGTTAAAAGGTTATAAATGTTGAAATCAAGAAATAAGGTACAAAACAGTATGTGTGACTCCATGATATACACATATATTCAAGTAGGTGCATGTTCATTGGAAAGCAAAATATGCAACAAATATTAATGCTATTTATAGCTGTGTGGTAGAATTAGACTAATTTTATGCATTTTTATATTTTTCTATTCTTTGTATTGATTTAGTATCTTCCAAATTTTCCATGAACAAAAATTGTTTACTTAAAAATAATTTTTAAAAATTACATAGGGACAAGAAATTGACTTATTTAAACAGGTCTGCATGACTGTCACAATCCAGTCAAAGCACCTACTGAAGGCTACTGCTCAGAATTTAAGCTAGAACAGAATCTTTTCTTTTCCCCTTAACAATATACATGTATAAGTGGTCCTGAAGACTTAAATGGTCATAACATTATGGG